AAATTGTATAGGTATCTCGTACAGTCGTGCCTAACTAGATTTTATACTCGATTTTATAGTAGGTACCCAATACTTAAATAATAATATTTGTGAATAGTTTTAGACAAAATAAACAAGTTACATTAAATACTGAAAACTAACCAGTCACATCATTTTTTTAAATATCACTGAAAATATTCGTTGAAACCATATTGAAGGAAGTTATATTCTATAAAAAATATATTCATAATACATATACCTAAATATACTGTTTGAAAATACAATAATTTTATAAATTTGTATTGAACTAAACTATTTAAATAATTTGTAAGTACCTACAAATTTATCAAATAAAGCATATCTCGGTCACAGTACAGTAAATTTGATTGGCTAACCTTGAATAAATATATTAGGGGATTTACGAAAAGTAATGATGAAAATAATAATAGTACACAGGGACGAGCCTATTCATTTCCTGTTAAACTGAGGATGGGCAGTTATCCACAACAGTCATCGGTTATAACCTACTTGGAAGTGGGACAAAAAAATAAACAAATAAATAAATCTAAATACAGAGAAATGACTATAATACAGTATAATATGAATGTGTCCTTGGTACAATGAGCTTTCATGATTTCCTGCAATTGTAAGACTTGATTTCCGTTCAAACTCGACAGATAACAATAATAATAAAAAGTAAAAAAACCATTAATAAACATTCAAATCTTTTATGTAAATGCATAGAAATTTATGAAAAGTCAATGGACAATTCAATAAATATAGTATATCTTTTTAATACCTTCTTGAAGTATTAAGGTTAATCTCTTTTAATTTTTGGCTTGTCTTTTTCAAGTGTTATGCGTTATTTTTTAATAGATATACAACCTCGGATACAACCGAGTACAACTGACTTTATAACATATATTCTTTACTCTTTATTGAACCAATGATTATGATAAAAAATACAAATTATTTTTACTTGTTTTATAAATATGTTCAAATTTCATAATTTCGAAAGTCCACAATTACTCATCCATTACTCACATTTACAGTCTACAGATAATAATTAATACTTTAGATAATACAAAGATACATTTATCTAAAATATTCTAACAAATTTAATGCAAGAAAAAGAATACATACCTAATATGCAATTGTGCCGTTTGGCTTAAGTATCTCGATGTAGGTACCTAGTACCTACCTAATGAAATGATTAAATTGTCATTGTAACTACTAAACTAGAACAGGAAACAACGCCACTTCCGAAAATTACACAACTAGCTCTCAATCTTAAATCTTTAAAATCGTATACATAAACCACTATGTAAGTCCGATTTAAAAACAATAAAAACGTAATTTAACCCTTAACATATTAATGTACAGCTTTGACTTAATTCTAGTTGTACCTATAGGTACTTACATGTTTTAGTTTTAATATTAGTTTATCGATTAACAAGGTTTGCTAAATAAAAAATATCATACAGTTAGGCATACTTATATTTTAATATTATAATTACCTCGATAATTACATAGGTACCTATGATATTTTTCAAAATATTACAAATTTAAATAGATTATAAATGTCGGATGTAATGTCCCAATAAAACTCTTAAATCATCCAGAGAATAAATAGTAAATATGAAATTTCCAAATGACAAAAAAAAATGTATAGGTAGGTACATATTAATTATTATAGATACCATCAAAATTATACATAAAACAGAGTAAAATACCAAATCACTTTTTTTGTTTAACTCGATGTTTTACTGAAGTTCGACTAGACAACAATTTAAACATTTATTTGTTAACTGTTATTTTAAGATAAGTATATTATTTCTTATATTTTGATATTTATTTTACTAACAATGACTTCTAACATGCACTGAATTATTTATTCCAATCTCTAAGTAAATACTATTGAAATATTGTGTTGGGATTATTTTTGTCTATATTAAGTACCTAGGTATTTAGCTCGGTATTTAAGTAGATATAATTCATGATGATTATGATAATTTAGGAGATCTTTGAATTATGAGATGACCATTCACTGTAAAATTTGAACAACTAATTACTTACACACACGCATACATATATTGTATTGAATCCATATATAATATTATATATAGGTATGTACAATATTGTATATATACCTACAATGGAAACTTGAATGAAATCAAAAATTATAATACAATTTAAAATCTCACACCAAATAACATGTTAAATATTACCAACAATGTTATTTTAAGACTACTTTAGTAAAATTAACATCTACAAATCTAAATAATATTATTTATCTACTAAATATCCTGTTATACTGTTGTATATCAAAGTATTATTAAATAGTGCAATAACGTTATGAAACAGTCAGAGAATATACGAACAAAGTTTATTACGTATAATATAGCAATAATTATTATTACACTGAAAAGAATGTGCCCCAGTAAACTATCACCTACAACACACTCAAGTGCATTCCATGCGCAATATTATACCCATCTGTTTCTTGTACACTCTTGTAATACACATATATCGAGCATTGGAAATTAACTGGATTTTTAAAATAAACATATTTGCTATAAATATAACGGTACACTATAAGGATAGACCTACCTAATTTTTATTTTTATACCATATTTGAAAAGTTAACACGAGTTAACATTACCGAACGTATAATGAACTTAAGGAATGATGTACTTAAGAACGACAAATATGAACGCATAATCATCATAGATATTAAAGAATGGCTTTTGTGCTTATCATACGGGAACGAACATGAAAATGTTTTGATGTTATAGAGGTCTTAACACAAATATATATAATATATGTATAATAATAATTGTATATAATTTATGATAAGACCTCTGCCAGAATGAGAGGCAATGATTAAAAACAGTCTTTCTCTCTCCCCCATTCCGACACACTTGTCTCTATTTTATTAATGTAGCTATGGCCCTCGCTATGGCCTATCCATTCTTTGATATCTATGATAGTCACCTTGATTACGTGCTTAAAACTAAATAAACTAAGCATTTACCTATTGAATCAAAAATGTATTGATAGCATAACTGGACAAAATAATAAATAATTAAATACCTACCTATACTATAGAACACACAACAGCTGTGGGTACAATGGGTACATTTATTTTTAGGTACCTACTTAAATTTAAATGTTATTAACTATCAGTTATCAGTTATCACTTATCACCAATTTATAAAAAAAAAAACATTGGTTATTTCAGCAGTTAAATAGGTATAGAATCTTGAAAAAAAGTTTAGGTAGTATTGTAAAAATAATTAAACTTAGACCTTGGTTTTAAATAATTTATGATTTATTAATATAAAATCGAGTATAAAATACAATTAAAACGCGTTTGGTAATTTCCAGCACCCGGGTACAAGCCCATTTAAAAAAAATCATAATGCACACTTTTTCTGATATCACCTATATTATTAGTCAAGCTTGTAGAGAATGGAGGGTAAACATTACGAACAATTTTTGGATAATTTCAATGTATTTAATATTAATGGCTACACTTGAGTAACACATTTTTAATTCAGATTACACTTTAAACATTTAAATTTTTGTATTGTACATTTACATAAATATGAGAGGCGTGCTATATACGAGAAGATTGAAAAGTAATTACCCGAGAAATTACCGATTAAGTCTTAAAATACATACTGTACCTAACCCAACTGAGATCGCTTAAAATTCCGAACAAGCTTCCGAATTACTTGTTAGAAGGATACTTTCAGTCATATTAGTACCTACCAACCCTTTTTATATCACTGAAACCCCTAAGTAGCTCTCTATACCAATCGTCTATAAATTAAGTTACCACCTTGTTTAAAAATTGAAAGTGAACATTGAGTCATCGACCCAACCAAAAGTGCCACAAAAATGTTTGTGTTAAAAAAAAATAGTCAATACCATACAATTTACCTAAATAGAAAATCAAGCTATATAGAATAGAATGAAATCATCATAAAAAGATACCCGGAAAAATAACTCGGTAGGTAGGCTGTGTTTTTCATAAAGAAAAACTAAGGGAAAAACTTATCTGGAAAATTAATATTAACAAAAACTCAAGCATGATGGATATACCAGAATGATAACTATATTTACACCCGTATTTACATATGCCTTGGTAAACTACAAAAATAACACGCAACGCTCAAAATAAAATCATCACTTTTACTATACAGTATACACCGGGGTATACACCTCAATAATTAGTCTCTTTTACAAATATATTAAAGATCCAAATACTTAAGAATAGTTCTTAAATACGGTTACTGGCTAGTTTAAAGGTCCCATGGTCCATGGGGAATATAGGACAATATAAGACATATAAGAGTTTACATATACAAGTAGACATATCCACAATATGATACAAAGATACTTGTTCAACAGAACTGGAATCTGGATCAAAAATGTCCATATGAAATTCAAAACATCGGAAAGAGACCGGTTGCCACTCCTATCAAATGACACTGATAACACTTACGACCGCGACGCCAAGTTACACTTCCATGAACAAACTTTATGTGTTATGTTATTTCAGTATAATATATTATGTATTGTCGCCTCGATTGTCACTATATTTAACACGCCTTTTCTCAAATTATTAATATTATAAATATTTGAGGGCCTACATAGGCAGGGCCGTATTAGGGCATAGGCACTATAGGCACTGTGCCTAGGGCCTACAAACATTTTAGGGGCCTACGAAAATGAAATGAGTGGCTACGATTTTTCTGTAATATTTTTTTTTTATTTTAAGTTAAATAACTATCTGTAGATGTTAGCTCAAAAAATAAACATTTTGTATAATAATATTTCCCGTATATTTACACTCAATGTTCGTTATCAATTCGTAATAATTACTTATTGAAATCAGATTGGATAAACCATAAAACGATAAAATGTATACGGTATACAGAGAAACGACATGATGAATAAAACCACGATTGCTGTTTAGAGTATTTTAGGAAATAATTGATAAATTGATAGTAGAAATGGAAAAACGAAAAATAGCTTATTTAAAATTAGACGAAAGATTTAATTTTTTAACTGACGAAAGTTTAAAAGATGAAGAAATAAAAATAAATGCAAATAATTTAGTTGAAGCCTGTAAAACCGATTTGGAATCTTCATTTGTTAATGAGTTTTTGATTTTTAAGAGCTTTCGAGAAACTGGAATGTCTGTGAATGAAATGCTAATTAAACAAATAAATACCAAAATGGTAACCAGTTTTCCAAATGTAAATATTGCTTTTAGAATTTATTTATCAATTTTTGGGACTTCGTGCGAAAGTGAAAGATCATTTTCAATTTTAAAGAGGGTTAAGAACTGGCAGCGGTCAACTATTGGGCAAGATAAATAATCAATTATCATCATTATCGGTACTTGAAATTGAACACGAATTGCTCCAAGAAATCGATACTCAAAAAGTTATAGAATCATTTGCAAACAAAAAATATCGTAAAAAAGTTTTGTAACTATAAATTTATATTAAGAAATATTCTACATAATATTGTTATTTTTAATTTGTTACAATTATCTTTTGTTTTATACTTAAATACGAGGAAGAAAATGCAAAATGGTATAAAATAAGTTGTTTTTATGGTTTCTGGAAATTTAATTTTAAATAATATATTTTGAGTGAAATAAAATATATTTTTAGATGTGTTAAAATTGTTATCAGATAACGTTATAATAAAATTATAAAAGTTAATATTTGATTTTCATGTTGTAAATAATTTTTTTTTAAAGGCTTAAAGTACTGAGATTCAACACTACCTCTCCCAAACATTAGATATCTTAATTGTTTACAAGAGAAAAAATAGTATTCAAAAGTGCCTATGTTATAGAATTCAATTTATTCAGTGCCTTGGGCCTACGGATGGCTTAATTCGGCCCTGTACATAGGTGTATACTGTATACATTTAAAAGTATAGCAAAAAATTAAATTACTATTATTCTAATAATTTACCTCGTAATTTACCTAATTATAACAATGTATATTTTAAATATTTATTAAATTACAAGTATACAGGTAGATTTATACCTCAATTTATACGGATTCATATATATTGTGCAATATAAAGTAATGTAAATTTTAAGGTTAAAGTTTTAAGTGTAAAAATAAATCAAATTTTATCACGTCGTTTAAGTTAATGAGTTATTTATTGCATGCCTACAGTAGTAAATTCCAACACTAAAGAATGTACCTTCTAGTTGTTCTATGATTTTTTATTTTTCCTATTATCAGAACGTCAAATTATTTTTTAATATAAATATAATGGAATAGTTTTTAATCATCAGTAAATAAAATGTGGTTTATCGAACCGTATAAAAATGTACAATAATGTTTATTGCCCCGTATATTGTAGTCACTAGTCAGGTGTGAGAACAATAAATTCGTACGTTAAAAAAGATCGAACAACAATGCCAATTTGATATTTTTAAATTGTTCCTTGCAAAATTTGATTATAATTTATTATACCTACCTAATATTCATAACACAATATTATTGTTGTGATGAATGTGATGCACTATACAAAATCAATCATTACAACACGGTTGTGGTGCGATTCGGTATACTATAATATTATTTAAAATTTGTATTATTATCAATCGTAAATTCGTGTCAATATTTTTTGTGCAGACGAAAAAGGAAACCTTTTGTCGACACGTCAGCGTGCACGCCACTAACCAACTCGACCTTTACGACAATAATTACCTATAAAGGTAGGTGGTTATATTTAATGCGAACGACCGCGCTGACATGTGATGTGTGACCAAGAAACAATTTCATGTTTCCCGAGAATGGCTGTCCTATCTGCACTCTGGAATAGAACTATAGAATTGATGACGGAACATGCATACCTATATTAAAATCATAACAAGTCGCATTCGCGACCTGTATAGATGTAGATATATAATAACGAACAATAAATTACGCCTAATAATAATGAATTAAACACGGGATTAAACATTAAATGTCATTGTCGATGTGTCTCCCCCGCGCCAGATTTATTATCATTTACCATTTCAAAAAGTACGCAAAAGAACAAAAACCGAACACATTGTCACAACATAATAATACTAATATTTAATAATCATTAATATTATTTTATGAAATATGACACCGAAGAATGACGACACGACGACGTAACGCGTGCGTATTGGCCGCGGTCCATAATATTATTATATATATTATTTTCCGCGTTGATCGACGGCACGACTATTTCGCACTCCGGAATGAGGTGCGGAAAAATCAAAACAATAATAATTAATAATACATTATACGACAAAATATAGGTACCACGTTTCGTCATACAATTATAAATAATAATAATATAGGTTGGTATTTTATGTATCGTTCCCGATATCTAGTTTCTTATTTCTTATCTCTGACCCCCACCCAAATACGCACCTATCGGTGAAAATTATCACGTCAAGCCAGGCCTTGAGAATGTTTGCGCAGGACTCGGCTGTTCACCGACTCAAGTAGCATAACAGCACGTGTAAGTGCTAAAATATCTCGTATAGATTGAAAATTGCACAAATGGTGGTCTGCTTGCGGGTACATACCAAAAATAAAGAAGAAAAAGTAATAGAGGTTACCTGGTCACCGTCCGGCAGCCATCTTTGCACGCAATCTATACGAGAACTCGTCGGCGGCGGCGGCGGCGTCGGCGCGCAGGTAGCATACACACAACACGGAGGCCACTGCCGCCGCCGATTCAAATGCGCGAAACCTAACCGCCTTTTTTCCGTTCGGTATTTATGGTATTTTTTTCGCGACAAATAAGGGCGTAGTTATCACGGAGAGAGGGGGGACAGACAAAACATATTATACGATGACAGGTATCACAGGTATGTGGGTAAGGTGGTTACTCACTTTTTATCGCAGGGTGGCTATGATCAACAGCGTTTGAAGGCGGTACCGCGATCTCGGTAGACGGTCATCATCTCGACACTTGCACTAGTTGCACTTACACGCCCGCGGCTACGATAACACAACGGGTCGTGCGGCCCACGGGGGCCATAACCCAAAGAAACAAAAACTGCGTCACTAGCACACGGTCACTCGCGAGACACCGGATCAGAGCTGTCGCGTTTATATTGTTATTAATAATAATATTATTAGGTTGCACTCGCGACGGGCGACACGCACGCGGACACTGTTCACCTGCACATCATCGGAGCGGCGGCGACGATTTTGGTTGTATCGTCGTGTTTTGAGCGAACGGCACGATAATATAATAATATTTTAACACTAGGAAAATCGCGGAACTACGCGCGACGAACCAAAAACACTATTATTGATAATAACAACGGCGAGACGCGCTCTGCGTATACAACTCTACTGCAGTACTGCTTCGATACAACGCGACACGCACACGGGCGGCGGCAGTGGTTTTCGAACGAAATTACAAACGGAGGTGAAACGGCTGCGGCGGCGAAGAAAATAATAATAATAAAATACGGTACAACGGCGGTCGCACACTCGCACGTACCCGAAACGTCACGCACCAGACGACGGCGGTGCCCGTAACGATAAAACCGGCCGTCAGACGCATGCGCGCGCCAGGTGAAACCAGATTTGCGACCGTGGCGCAGCGCCGCGGCCAGGCACGGTGACCGGGTGGGGACTGCCGTGCAACTAGAATACACACCATAGGTATACGCGTTGTGATATTATGTATAGGTATATAATGTGTGTATAATGTATATACATCCGTATGGGTATAATATTATGTACCTATATAATATACAAATAAAATTATAATATAATGCTATGTAGGTATATAAACACAAAAGAGACCTGCGACCGGCTGGCTGCTGCTTCTGGTGCTGCTAGTTTGCCAACGGCGAGCGGCTTCTTATTCGTCTTCGCCGCTAGATAATATTATTTATGTATACATATGATTATAATATAATTCATTTCTTTTTCTTAACACCCCCCTCCATCCTACCTTACACAAAACCCATCAACCTCCCCGCGCCATACAAACGCGCGGGCCGACACTCGATACTCATCGTAATTATAATACACCAACTGCCTCCATATATAATATTTTAACGGACATATTAATATATACATATTATATACGTCCCTAAGTATATAATATCAAACCAAACGAACAGTTGCAAGAATAAATTTATTTTGAAAAATAAAATGAAAAAAAATTCGAAAAGCCATACGTTCAATCAATATTTTAAATTTTTTCTTTCTACGGTCTACGAGTTAAATAATATTATAATATATTTTGTGGGTCGCTGACACAAATTGATATATTACCTACAACCTATTCATCACTCATCAGTCATCATTAGGGCTAGGAATTTGTAGCATTTGCATTTTTTCTCATGGCACTCCAGCACATCGCTCTTTAAATACAAAATCCTATTTATACATCACTGAGTTCAAATATACAGTTTTTTTTTGCATTTAATTGCATTTTCTTATGATAGTCGTAAATAATTACATTTTTGGCACTTTTGTGTCAGTTTCTTAGCTTTGTTATTTAGTTTTTGTTATTTAAATGCATATTCGACATTTTTAAAACATTTACATAAGTATTTAATGTAAAATTTTTACAGCTGATATACTTCGTGTTTTTGTAAGTAAAAAAAATATAAGTATTATATAAAAATGTATCTAATAAACAGGTGCCTAAGAAGTAAGATTTAATAAAACGTTTTTAACTTATTGTTTTAAATAGATATTAAATCGTATTTAGGTGTCCTAAGAATTTATTTATTTGAAGATATAAAAATGAGTTCATTAATAAGTTATTTTTCGATTTTAAAAATTATTATCAGCTGAACTTTTACATTTTAAAGTCATTTTTTAGAAGCATGTTCATGGTTTAAATGCCTTTACAGCTGTAGGTTTTCAATGCATCATTTTCTTAGCCCTAGTCATCATAATATTATACTGGACGAACTATAACTTATAAAGTACCTACTAAAGTACTAACCTACCTATATATATTTATGTGTTTAAGGTTTAATATTACCTTAGAAACATATTCAACTATTATTATTGATTTAATCATATTATACACAAGCCTTATTTTTCATTTTCAAATATAGCCATAAAGATATAAGGTACCTACCTACTACCTAACATAATAAACAATAATATAATACACTCGACACTTCTAATCTGTGGTATTATAAAAACTGTATGGACTATGGAAGAGAAATTTTTCTGTATTTATTTAAGTATTGTTTTTTCCTGCTTCGTTGCCATTTGCCAATAAGGTAAAAAACTGGTTGAAATACCGATACGGCTACGGCTACCTATATGGTTTTACTTAAATCTGATTTTCGATTTCTCTATACAATTTAATACCTATGTTCAAATTC